CCTTTCCTAGCTGCCTTCTATCCCTCTCCTAGCTCTACTCTTCTCTGTTTAGCTACCTTCCAGCTCTGTTCCTTTTCCTACTAGTTTTCAGTTCTATCCCTCTTCCTCTCGTCTAGGTCCTTTCCTCTTCCCTGCCTTCTAGCTCTCTTCCTCTAGATTCTGTCTCTCTTCCTCTAGCTCTCCTAGCTCTATCCTCTCTTCAGCTACCTTCTCTGTTCCTCTTCCTAGCTTTCAGTTCTATTCCTCTCTTGCTATCTTCTAAGTCCTTTCCTTGCTGCCTCTAGCTCTCTTCCTCCAGCTACCAACTCCATTCCTCTTTCTCTTTTCTATCTCTCTTCCTCTACCTCCCTTCTAGCTCTGATCCTCACCAACTTTTTCTCTATTCCTCTTCCTCTCGCCATCTTCCAGATCTCTTTCGTTCCCTCTGTCTCTCCCTCTACCTTCAACTCCGTTCCTGCTGTCTAGCTCCATTCCTCTCCCTCTAGCTCTTCCACCTCTGTCCCCTTTCTCGTGCATCCACCGTGGCCAAGACAGAGATGCCTCGAGCCGGACGAAGAAGAAGTGCCCTCTGTCTTTTCTCAGGCCCCTATAGGTCCCGTGTCTAGCGTTCCTCGTTCATCCTCCTGCCGCCCGTAGCTCCAGCTTTCTCGTTCCTCGTCCCTTTTCCCTGGCGTGTCCTACCTTTTACCCGAACCCAGGGTCCTATGGGTTCTCTATGAGGGGTCGAACCACTGACATCGGCCGATTAATAACGTATCTTCGTGGGGGCCCCCATAGACCACGAAGACGAGCACGACGACGACCAGCGGACGGGGGAGGGGGGGCTTGAACCTACGGAATTCTGTGTACCCACCGGGGACAATAAGATATATATCTACTAATAATTCGCCCGATGCTGTCCGGCTCGGCTCTCTTCCCTTTCTTATTCTTCCCTCTGCTCTCCGTCTGTCTGCGCGTGTCTGTGCGCGTTTCTCTGCTTCCTCCGGACTTTTTTTATTATTCTTCGCCGGCGTCCGGCGAGATAGAGATATTTGGTAAATGGAGGTGCATTAGCTCGATCGCTCGAGTCTTTAGAAATCCTCCTCGATTCTTTCTTCGTCGCTGCGTTTTTACTTTCCTTTTCCCGTCTCTTGTGCTTTCGAAACGACGACTTTATGCACGCTCTCTCGCGAGTCTGACGAGGATTCTTCGTTTCTTAGGAATAAGGGATTATTGAGTATACAGGTTGGGAAACTTGTGCTTGCTTCGACTGTTTGCATTGGGATTGTCCTAGCTTGTTCCTCAACTTTCAACTTCTTTAGTCGAAGTTTAGACTTCTAACGAGACTCCCAATAAATCCATGATATCGAAGACATTTAGTTTGACACGCTGAACGCGGAATTTCATAGAGCGACATACAAAATGGGGAAAATATAATATTCAATTCTTCTAACTGAATGGCACATTAGGTAGCGTTATTCATAATATAGAAATGTTTTCAAATCGTTTAATTGTGAACTATAGTATTATAATTCAATTCAGTTGAATTTGGTGAATTGCAATAATTTGATTTGGTTGGGGTCACCCGTGACTCCCATATCATTCAACGTTAACCCTTTGAACTCTGTAGGCTCCAATATTGCACCGGTTATAATATTAAATATTTTAATGAATCAAAGAAACTACCCTAAAATTATTAGATTTTTATTAAAATATCGAAGGTATGTTATAGCATTTTTCATTTAATAATCACTATAGTATCACTAGAAATACCATAAAAATTAGTTGCAGTTGCTGATAAATTACAAAACCCTCTGAAGTGCTAAGGGTTAAGAATAGCGTCATCAATGTTCCAAAGTAACTTGACAATGCTAATCATTCTCGATCAAAGGTCTCCAACTATTTTATCCCAGTACACAGTAAACGCGCATTAAACCCAGCCAATGACTTTTTCCCAAGGGTAATTAGATATGGAAGCGTCCCTTAGTTTTTATTCGACAACAGTTGAAAATTTGCTAGGCCGTATTAGGTGTAGCCGCCCCGTGTTTCTCGTTTCGAGAAAAATCATCGAACTTCCAACAGCGTCCCCGGCGAAGGGAAACGATTGTTCCGCGCGCGAGTTAGGCACGGGAGTCGTACAACGCCGGAGTTAATAACGCCTCCTCCGAATGGATTCCCATAGGGTATACGTATACACGAGCGAGCGAGCGCGGACACTTAAGGGCTACGCTGTAATTCCGTCTAGCGGCTGGAGACAATACGATATATATCTGCGGGCTCTTACGACTAATAGCTTTGTTTCTTCGTGGCACGACACCGTCGCGTCCCGTCGCGACCCGTCCCCCGTTGTCGCGAGCTCAAAGGCCTACGACCGCCGAGCGGTCGAATGGGGCTGCTGACTTTTCCCAATAAAACTGATTTATCGAAACATTACATTCTCAAACGCGCTTATCTCAGTTGAACTTACTTTCGGTGCTTCGGTAGTGTTTGAATTTCGAAGGGACGCGGATGCAACGAAGTTACGAACGTATTCGAAGTCGTCTTCGGTTTTCCAACGCTTGAATTCTCAGTGGACGAAAAACTATGACAGTTACGAACTCGAAACTTTGAATGCAGGTTTACGTATATTCCAAAAACTCGTAGTAGAATTTTTGTGCAGTTGCGATGCGTATTACTGAAGTTATCGAACGTTAACCCTTGCACTTGGAAGTTTCTCGTTGGAAATATTTAAGATCTTCTCGCGACATACAGGCGAGATTCCTTTAAACTGACATGTATCGATTGTTTAACATGTATAATCTATGTAATTGTGCATAGTTTAATGTTGAGTGTTCATTTTTATTGTACCACCGTGTCGAATCAAGCGATGATTGAGGGTCTTTAGAGCGCGAAGGGTTGAGTGTAGCTTCTTTCTGTAGAATTGCGATGAATGTTTCCGTTTGACCGGAAGTTCCTTCGGTTTCCACTGGATCTTCAATAAATTACAGTGATTCGGTAAGCAACCGAAGGTTTGAGCAGCTTCGTCAGAGGTCTGCCGTAGACGTGTCGAATCGGGCCCCGAGACACCGGCATTCCCTTCCGTCTTTCAGGACTCCGGCTCGCGCGCGCGTCGATACCGTGAGGAATGAGCTAACGGAGAATATCGGAGGATCGTACGCGCCGCGGTGGACCAGTCATTTATCTAGAGAATTTTTTCGACGACCAGCCGCGAGCTTATTCGTCTTCGGACGTTCCACGGGCTTTTTCAACGATTTTTAACGCCGACACGCGTATTGCGAGCCGGTTGAACGTTCGCGTCGCTGTCCCTTGCTTAGCATTTCAGCTTCGGATCTTTAACGTCCGAGAATTTATTATTCTCAACTGAAATTGTCTCTTTCGAGGTGGATAACGGTGACGCGGACCGTGAAGAATGAACCTGCGAATGGATTTTTTTCCGAAAACCGACGACTCCTTTTCTTCTAAGGCCACCTCGGTATTAACCCGTCAACTGCGAGTGTCTTTAAACGCTGTTAACAAGCTTCCAGTTAACTATCAATATTGTCTCCGCTTGATTATCCAATCATTATCCGGCGAAACTATTATCAGAAGATTCCACGATACACATGAGTGTACACCAACGGAATTGTATTCCTATGAAACACGAATGCAACAATATAGAGAAAGTTCATAAGAAAGACGAAAATCATATTTTACTAATGGAAATCAATTAATAGAATTCAATATCCTTTCATGGATTCATTGTGCTCATACTACCATTATCATCGAATTAATCTAGTACATTAACCAGTTAACTGTGTCTGACGAGTGTACACGTCATCTTAAAACTCTTGATGGTGCCACCTTTTTCAACGATGGATTATTTACTTTTTGAGACAAACATATAATTCTTCTTCGTTAGGATATATTTTAAGTGCATTTCGCCTGCATTTAACGAGTATACGCTTCATTATTTGATTTTATCGTGCGCAATGAGAGATTTTTCAAACTAAATTCGACGCTTGTTAATCTAGTACATTAACACTTTGCCACGTGAACACTCATCAAAACTCCCATGTACTCGAAACATTTTTCTCTAACAACCAGAAACTGAGAAATCAAGATTCTTCTTAATAATTGCTCCACTATCTCTCTTATATCTCGTATATCCAACAAAATTCGGTTCGTTCGATACGGCACGAAAGAAATTAATGTCCACGTTTCTGTGAAATATAATGTCGCCTGAATTCGGGTGACGTGGTACTCGAGGTGTTAAACAACGATCCATTGTTGCTGCACGCGTGGACGTGACTTCCTAGAAAAATCAGGTTCGAGCTAGTCGAAATCTCTGCTCGCCCACGCGACGAGTTTTCCGAGAGGAATTTCCCCGTGACCAAGGGCTCCGTCCGGAAGAACGTTAACGAGGGATCGGCGAGAAAGCTCGTCGATCGTAATCGGATTGGAGCGAGAGGCAGGCTGCCCGTCCTTGATCTTGATCCGGCCCGTTCGATATTTCAATGACCGGCCAAGGATTTTCGGTCATAATTTTCCGCGCGAACCGGAACCGGCCTGGTGATGTCGAGGGGGGCAGGGGGGAGAGGATTGCAGGATGGTCGGAGGCCGCGGGCGTAATAAAACGCGACGATGATCGAGGAACCGACGTAACGTACGTATTAATGAGAGCGTTCTTTATGCGCGGTCTCGCGTTCGGCTCCAGATCTCGCGGCTTCCCTTATGTAACCGGCCGGCCGGTCGGTCGGTTGGTCGGCTGGTCGGCTGGTTACACGCGGCCGCCTTGTAACTACGTATCTTTATTACGAATGATATGTTGAGTCCGTGTAGTACGTACGATCGCGCGCGCGCGCGCGCGCACGCGTGAGGTTTCACGGGAGAGATTCTGTCTTTGTTTATCCGCCGGGGTCTCGTCGGTGGTTTTCGTGTACGGGGTGTACCGTTTGCAGCGGACTCTGGGGTAGGAGAGATGGTTGTTTATAGTGGGAGCTACTGGTTGTTGGGTGTACTAGTTTATAGTGGGAAGTAGTTGGTAAATGTAGTAGTTTGTAGTGGGACTTGTGGTTGCTAGGTATAGTAGTTTATAGTGGAAATTGGTGGT